TTCTCTCCCCCTCTTCTCTCTCTCCCTCTCCCCCTCTCCTCTTTCTCTCCCCCTCTTCCTCTCTCTCCCTCTCCCCCTCTCCCTCTCTCCCCCACTCTCTCTCTCTCCCTCTCCCCCTCTCTCCCCCTCTCCTCTCTCTCTCCCACCTCTCTCCCTCTCCCCCTCTCTCCCCCTCTCTCTCCCTCTCCCCCTCTCCCTCTCTCTCCCCTCTCTCTCTCTCTCTCTCTCCCTCTCCCCCTCTCTCTCCCTCTCCCCCTCTCTCTCTCCCTCTGCCCCTCTCTCTCTCCCCTCTCTCTCCCTCTCCCCTCTCTCCCTCCTCCCTCTCTCTCCCCCTCTCTCTCCCTCTCCCCCTCTCCCTCTCTCTCCCCCTCTCTCTCTCTCTCCCTCTCCCCCTCTCTCTCCCTCTCCCCCTCTCCCCCCCTCTCCTCTCTCTCCCCCCCTCTCTCTCCCTCTCCCCCTCTCTCTCTCTCTCCCCCTCTCTCTCTCCCTCTCCCCCTCTCTCTCCCTCTCTCTTCCCTCTACCCCTCTCTCTCTCCCCTCCCCTCTCCCTCTCCTCTCCCCCTCTCCTCTCTCTCTCTCCCCCTCTCCTTGTCTCCCTCTCCTCTCTCTCTTTCTCCCTCTCCTCTCTCTCTGATGCCATTTCTCTCTCTCTCTCTGATGCCATCTCTCTCTCCCCCTCTCTCTGATGCCATCTCTCTCTCTCTCCCTCTCTCTCTGATGCCATCTCTCTCTCTCTCTCTCTGATGCCATCTCTCTCTCTCTCCCCCTCTCTCTGATGCCATCTCTCTCTCTCTCTCTCTGATGCCATCTCTCTCTCTCTCTCTCTGATGCCATCTCTCTCTCTGTCCCTCTCTCTGTTGCCATCTCTCTCTCTCTCTCTGATGCCATCTCTCTCCCTCTCTCTCTGATGCCATCTCTCTCCCTCTCTCTCTGATGCCATCTCTCTCTCCCTCTCTCTCTGTTGCCATCTCTCTCTCTCTCTCTCTCTGATGCCATCTCTCTCTCCCTCTCTCTCTGATGCCATCTCTCTCTCTGTCCCTCTCTCTGTTGCCATCTCTCTCTCTCTCTGATGCCATCTCTCTCTCCCTCTCTCTCTGATGCCATCTCTCTCTCTGTCCCTCTCTCTGTTGCCATCTCTCTCTCTCTCTGATGCCATCTCTCTCTCTGTCCCTCTCTCTGTTGCCATCTCTCTCTCTCTCTCTGATGCCATCTCTCTCTCCCTCTCTCTCTGATGCCATCTCTCTCCCTCTCTCTCTGATGCCATCTCTCTCTCTCTCTCCCTCTCTCTCTGATGCCATCTCTCTCTCTCTCCCTCTCTCTCTGATGCCATCTCTCTCTCTCTGTCCGCTGCTGTCCGTTGCGCGGCTCCTCTCAGCTCCTCCACCACCTGTGGAACCGCTTCTCAGCACCATTCAGCCTCTCCAGGAACCTATTGGGGAGAGAGAGAGAGAGAGAGAGAAAGAGAAACAGAACCGTGTTTAAATAACGTCCTCTGACAGCAATGCCCACCCCCCCCCCACCCCACCCCAACCCCGTTTATTGTCCACTCTTCCTCTCTCTCCCTCGCTCCGCCTTGACCCTTCCTCTCCCATCTTCGGTCTGGCGCCAGAAGACCCTCCTCCGCCACCGTTCCTCACGGTCAGGTCAGCCCCTCGCCCTCTGGGACCCTACCCTGCGTGAGGGGGCGCCGCGATGCTCGACGGAGGGTCGACCGTGAAGTGGTGGTGGTGGTGGTGGTGGGGGGTGACCGTGGTTTGAAAAAGCGGGCAAGACGGGAGGGGACTGAGGCAGGAGATTTCCGGAGAAAAAAAATTGCTGGTAACTTCTCTTCCATTCCAGGGATAAACCTCCACAAAAAACAGGCCACCAACTACACGGACGTCTCGACCCTGAGTCGAGACCAGGAGGTCAGCGCCGTCATCTGGGGTGACCCGCAGGAATCGGAGGTGATGATATTCTGGGGTTAAAATAATAATGATGATCCGTGCGTTTGACACGGCGCCCTCGCGCGTCGTTGAGACGAAGCCCTCCGGTTCTTCTGCCGATGACCTTCAATTCCGCCGGAGGGAACAGTCTCTGCCCGATCCGCTCTCGTCGGAACCCCTCACAATGTCCCAACACCTCTCTTACATAAATCTCCCCTCAACCTTCTCCGCTCTCAGGAGAACAATCCCAGACTCTCGAGTCCGGTCTCTCCGCGCAATTGTGGTCCCTCATCCCCGGTATCATTCTCAATGTAAGACACACTCACTCCACACACTCAGTCGTCTAATTTAACAGAGGGCGGGGGGGGGGGGGTGTGGGGGAGGGAATCGCTGTGTATTAATTATCAGGAAACGGTTTCCCCTCATTGACCTCGAGTCGAGTTCCAGCCTCACGTTCAGACTTCCCCGAGCTCAGAGTGACGTGGCTCGCTGTTCGCGCCTTCCGCGCTTTCCTTCAGGTGCTCGCGGGCTGCGTGAACGGCACAGTCAAGGTCTTCAGCACCGAGAAGGGCAAGTTCACCGAATTCCACGACTGCTCGGGTGGCGAGGGGCCCTTCCGAGGCTTGGCTGTTCATGACGGGTGAGAGCGGTTGAGATCACAACAATAATAATAATGACAATCTTTGCACTTGATGACTGCTCAATCCGTGGCTGTTTAATCCCTCTTTATGGGACGCGGTGCGCAACTGTGTTTCGCCCACAAGTCACTGCACTTTACAGTGCAATCTGTGAAGCGCTTTGAGACGCCTTGAGGGTGTGTTACGTCGAATGCAAGGACTACGCAGCGCCTTCCCACGTCGTTGAGACTTCTCAAGGCACTTCGCGGGACGCACTGTGAAGTGACTTGTGTATTTTGCGGCAGCCAATGGTGAGAGTGTCCATTCCTGTTGGATTCTGTGTTGCCTTTCCCTCATGTTTGTCCCTTCCCGGCCTGCAGCTCGCTGATCACCTGTGTGGAGTCGGGGCTCTTGAAGGTGTGGAGGGAAGGATCGCCAAACAATGTAAGGAATAACTTAGGAAAACCTGGCAATTTTATTTCTGCAGCGCACGCGTGAAAGGTTACACCACTCCCGTCTTATTTTCCTTTAGCTTCTCCAAAGGTCTAAGGGAACATCAACCGCATACCCCCCCCACACACACACACACCCACACACACACACCGTAAAGACCAGAGGCCTGAGATGTAACTTAGTCTTAACCTCTGGACACCCAATTTGTTGTAAAGTTTAAGATTGCCCAGAATTTGGAAAGTTCAGTCTGAATTTAATTTAGTTTAAGAACGGCACAGGCAGGACCAGCTTTCGGGATTTTCGCCCACAAAACGCACAGTCGAGTCCACTGCAATATGTTCTGTGAAGCGCTTTGAGACATCTCCACGACGCCGTAAGGCACAATATCAAATACAAGGATTAATTAATATTATTTTGAAAGCCGCGCCCTCCTGAGCAACGACTGAAGAGGTGAGGGTTTGCTGTTGGGATTGCATTAACAACAAATCGTATCTGCACAGCGCCTTTCACGTCTAATATTCTTAACACGTCGGAAGGATGCCCCCAAGGCGCTGTACAGGACAGTCTTAGATTTGGACCCGAGCTGGGGGTTGTGATCAGGAGGGGGTGGGGGGGGCTTTGTGGAGCTCCGCAGCTTAGTGATTAGAACACTCGCTTCGCAATCGTGAGGACCAAATCAAATGCAAGGATTATTATTATTATTTTAACCCACTGCCGTGGCACCCAAGAGCTGACGCGTACATGTTTAACGACAGGTGGAGGTGGAGGTGGGGCGGGATGTGATGAGGATGCGCCAGAACCCGGAGTCGCCCCAAAGGGTGGCTACTGGTGGGAAGGAGAACGAGCTGAAGGTTTGGGACCTGCAGCGACCGGAGGACCCCATTTTCAGAGCAAAGAACGTAAGCAGTTTGTCCTATTCTCTCTCTCCCTCCACCCCCCCAACTGCCCGCCAGCCCCTCGTTTATCTTTGCCTCTCGTCTGCTCAGAGCGTTGACTCCAGCTAGCGTTCGGTTCCAAAGGCTCCTGCAACACAAGTCACTACGCTTTACGGTGTATCCCGTGAAGCGCTTTGACGTGATGGAGCTCAATGTGAAGCGCGAGGATTATTATGGTGGCTCCGTCGTTACTTGTGACACCAGTTCCTCCTCTGACCTCCGTCGTAACTTGTGACACCAGTTCCTCCTCTGACCGACCCTGTTTATTTCCCCGTCTGGCCGGGCAGGTACGGAATGACTGGCTGGATCTGCGAGTCCCGGTTTGGGTGAGAGATCTACAGTTCATCCCCGAGTCTGAGAAAATCGTCGTCTGCACCGGCCATCATCAGGTGGGTCTAGTTTTGCTATATTTATAATAATGATAATAATAATCCTTACATCTTATCACCCACAAAACTTTACAGTCCAGTCTGCGAAACTCTTAAGTCGTCTCAAAGGCATGTTAAGGCGCTGTATCAAATGGAGGGATTATTATTATTATCACGTCTTCGAGTCGTCTCAAAGCAGATTCGATTGTAGCTTTCGCAAGGGAATTGGAACAGGTGCTTGAAAAGAAAAGTAGGGTAAGAGCGGGGTGGAGGGGGGGTGGGTACGGGTTGGATAGCTCTTTCCCAGAGCTGCAACAAGCACGATGGGGCTGAATAATAATCCTTGTGTTTGATACAGTGCCTTATCACGTCCCAGAGCGCTTCGCGGAATATACTGTAAAGTGAATCGACTATATTTTGTGGGCGAAACCCCGCAGCCAATTGGGCACAGCAGTGGAATGGCTTCTGTCTGCGCCGTATGATTCAGTCCCCTCTCTCTCTCTCTCTCTCTCTCTCTAGGTGCGGGTGTATGACCCCAGTGCTCCCCAGCGCAGACCTGTACTGGAGACGACCTTCGACGAATATCCACTGACTGCACTGTCGCTAACACCGGACGCAAAGTCAGTTACCCTTCCACCTTCGCCGTTTGCAGTCTCAAAGCGGACGCGAGCTCTTGCTGTGCTCGGGGGCGACTCGCACTGACGTAGGGCCCCTCGAAGCATCATCGATCCCTTAAATAATTAACTAAATCATTAATAATTTGCTCGCTTCAACCCACGGCTGTTTGTCGGACACCGCTGTGCGCAATTGGCCGCCGTGTTTCACCCACAAAATATATAGAGTTGACTCACAGTATATTCTGTCGAGCGCTTTGAGACGTCTCGAAGACGTGATAAGGCGGTATATCAAATGCAAGGATTATTATTCTAAGATGCAGTAGTGAAGCAGACACCTCTTAACTTCCAAATGCATCTGATTCTGAATATCCCACATACTACAGTAAATGTTGTGGCGATCCACTGGACAGAGAGTACGCTATGGATGCTGATGGCAAAGTGATCCTGTGTCCTCAGCGTTAGTCATTGGTGTCTCTGCTTCTTTCAGCTCTGTTGTCGTTGGCAACACACACGGAGAGATTGCTGTTATTGACCTCCGGATGGGTAAGGCTCCCAACTCCCTGTGTTTCTATGTTAAATGTAGTAGACGCAGAATAAAATTGCCCTTCACGTCCGAAGGTTCGCCCACAAATATACAGTCAATTCACTTTACAGTGTGTTCTGTGAAGCGCTTTGGGACGTCCTCCCGACGTGAAAAGCGCTATATCAAATGCAAGGATTATTATTATTATTAAGGTGTCAGGGATTTGGACCCAAGCTGGGGGTTGGGATCGGGAGGGGTGGAGGGCAGGGAGGGTGTAGTGGGGGTGGAGGGTGGCTGAAGGGACTGTGGTAATGCAGTTCCACAGGGTGGGGAGAGGGGGGGGGGCAGAGAGGCTGAAGTCCCAGCCGCCGATGATGGGGCAGGGTCCCGGAGCAGGCCGGAGCCCACTGAGCGGAGGGAGCGGAGAGGTTGATGTGGGGTTAGCGGGTCACGGGGCAAATGCCGTGGAGGGCTTCGAAGGTGAGGACGAGGATTTTTTTAAGCGCCATTTTAAGAAAAGAAATAACCTGCTGCTTGAAGCTGAGCAGAGGCCGCGCCGCGTGCGGTTTGCACTGGGACACTACCCTCTGTGACGGGCACTGTACCCACTGGAAGTTGTTTGTCTGCAGGCAGGCTGGTGAACTGTTTAAAGGGCCAGGCGGGCACTATCCGATCCATCCAGTGCCACCCCACCCTCCCGCTGGTGGCGTCCTGTGGGCTTGACCGCTTCCTCCGAGTCCACGACCTGAACGACAAGAAACTGCTGCACAAGGTGAGCCACCAGAGCAGGAATATCCACAGGGTGGGAAATAACGGGAATTAGGAGGTCTGCAGCTCAGTGGTTCGAGCAATTGCCTCGCAAAGCGAGAGGGGCCCGGGTTCGATCCCCAGCCCTGTCAGGGCGAAAGCTTCGGCAAGTTTCCTTACTCCACGCGCGCGCACACACGCGTTTCCTCGCAGTAAGTAGGAACCCAGATGTCAGTCAATTGGTGGATCGCTTTCCGGGGGGTAACAACCCCTCCCCCCAAAAAAGTAATCGTAATTAAAGTTAACTCAGTCCATGACTGTGGGACGTTGCTGTGTACGATTAAGTACCGCGTTTCGCCCACAAAATATACGTTTGACGTTATACCTTCGTGTCGAATGCTTTTGAGATGTCTCAGCAATGCGATAAGGCGCTGTGTAAAATTCGAGGATTATTATAATTATTATCAGACATTGTCTTATTTAACTCTCTCTCGTTTCAAAGGTGTATCTGAAATCACGCCTGAATTGCCTGGTGTTCACAAGCCGTGCGAACTGGGAGGTGAGTGAGACTATGTTGGAAGAAGCTGCACTTCTCTCTCTCTCTCTCTTCTCTCTCTTCTCTCTCTCTCTCTCTCTCTCCCCCCCAGCCCGTCCCCACTTACAAGGACAGCACCAACATTCCTGAACTGATATGAAAATATATTTGAGTTGAATTTAACAATTCCTTCAGAAAAGTAAGAATAAGTTGGTCGCTTCAATCCACGGCTATTTGTGGAACACTCCTGTGCGCAATTGGCTGTCGCATTTCGCCCAAAGAATATACAGTCACTGCACTTTACAGTGTATCCTGTGAAGCGCTTTGAGACTTCTCGAAGACGTGATAAGGCGCTATATCAAATGCAAGGTTTATTTTTTTATCGCTCGTTTGTGCTTCGAAAGGAGGAGGGTGCGGAGACGGCTGTCGTGGAGGGTGTCAAAGAGGAGGACGATGCGATCTGGGAGTCGATGGCAACTGTGACGGACAAATCTGCCCCCAAACGAAAAAAACAAGCACCAGAGCTGACTGTGAGGCAAAACAAGACAAAAAAGAGCAAAGATTCCTGAAGACTGTAGCCCAACCCTCACAGAATCCTAGAATCACGGAATATTACAGCACAGAAGGCCATTTGGCCCATCGTGCCTGTACTGGCTCTCTGAAAGAGCTACCAACTAGTCCCACGGCCCTGCTCCTTCCCCATATCCTTGCACATTTTTTTCTATCCAATTCCCTTTCGAAAGTTGTATTGAATCTGTGTCCACCGCCCTTTCAGGCAATGCGTTAAAAAAATGTCTCCTCATCTCCCCTCTGGTTCTTTCGCCAATTATCTTGAGTCTATGTCCCCTGGTTACCGACCCACCCGCCAGTAGAATCTTTATAAAATCTGTTCCTCCCCACATCCCCCACCCAACTCCCTCCTGGATCTACTTTTTCTCAAGGTCTGATTGCCGTGATCTGATTTCGGGGACTCCTCAAATGATGAATAAGGATGGGAAGGGGGGGGGGGGGGGTGGAGGGGTGGAATGAACATTGATACCAAACACATGAGCCTCCCACACTGTATGTAACCCATATCCAGCGGATAAACTCCCTTGAAGTACACTTAGATCCCCCAAGGGTGAGGTTGAACCCTGAGATATACACAGTATGTCCCAATGATACATTCCCCCCCCACCACCCCTCAATCCACGACTGTTTGTGAGACACTGCTGTGTGTAATTGCTGCCATGTTCCGCCCACAAAATATTACACTCGATTCACTTTACAGTATATTCTGTGGAGTTCTTTAAGATGCGATAAGGCGCTGTACCAAATCCACGGATTATTATGTGTTCTATAACCGCCTGAGCCACTGCTGGCGCCCGGGGCGTTGCTGCCAGTTTGGGAGCTCAATAACTTGCACAGACGGACCGGTTGAGTGCAGAGGACAGCGGGGAGAAAGAACCGGTTGGTTGGAGCGTCCAGAACAAGTCCAGGGTGGGCACCAGTCTCTGAAGGTTTTTCGACTCATTTGAAATAAAACGTGACAGAAAGAAACCGAGAAAGTTTTGTATGGCCACGTTTCCAAGTTTCTTGCTCCTGCCTCGCGAAGGGGAAAGATTGTCGGTGTGTTGTAGAGGGTGGGGGGAGGTGGGGGGGGGGGGCGGGCGGGGGCTTTAATGTGTAGGCGTAGGCACCATTGTTACATTTTGATGGGTCACACAAGGAGGGAGAGACACTCGTCGGCGAGACTTTCAAATCCACAGGAAACTACACTGGCAGCGACATCGACTGGCTTCAGATCCAGCCAGGATGGGCTGTGGATCATCCAAGGAAGTTGCCGTTGCAGGTTAAAACAAAATGGGAGACCGTGACATTAAGGGACATTGTCCATAAAAGGCGACATCCCCCTTTGGGACCGTTTCAATGTGGTGGAAAAACCCTTTTATCGTTTCCCTCTCCACCCTTCCCTATCGCCCCCCACCCGTCCGTCCGTCCGTCCGTCCTCGCCAGGCTCCACTGACCCCCCATCACACAGAGGATCCCGTTCAAGATCCTGGTCCTCACCTTCAAAGCCCTCCACGGCCTCGCTCCTCTATGGCCTGCTCACCCCCACCAAACGTTCTGCTCCCTCTGCTCAGTGGCCAGCTTCACGTCCTCCACCCGGCCTGACCCACCATTGGCAGATGTACCTTCAGCCTCCCTAGGTGGGGACCCTACGGAGCTCCATCCCAGAGCCCCTCCTGCTCCTCGCCCCCTCCCTTGTCTCCTTCAAGACCCATCTCAAGACTCTTTTCTTCGACCGTTCCTTTGGTCATCCTCATACCCCTGCCCTCCACCTCTCCTGATGCCAACCAGCAGCTCAGCCGACTGTTCGGCTCCTTGGGATGTCCTTCTGACATGAAAGGCGCTATACAAATACAATTTATTGTTGTTGCACCTCCCTGACTGACTGACTGACTGACTGACTGATGGACATGATATACCAAGCTACTTACCTATTAGGGCTTTGAGAACTTTTAACAGCTCCCAAGTCCCACTGATGACCCCAATCAGACTGGTGAACCATCAACTGTTTGGGGGGGTGAGGGGGGGTCAGCCGGGTGACGCACGCGGAAACCAAAATAAAAATAATAATAATAAATTGGTCACTCAATCCCCCGACTGTTTGTGGGACACTGCTGAGCACAATTGGCTTGTGAGTTCCTCCCACGAAATATACAGTCACTACACTTTACTGTATATTCTCTGAAGCGCTTTGGGAGGTCTCGAAGTTGTGATAAGGCGCTATAGCTATATCGAATGCAAGAATTATTATTATTACTGACCAGCCTCCATGATCCCAGCGTGGGTCAGTGATTTTATCAGGGGCAAAAATGAGAATAAAGAATTGTTGTTAGCGGTGGGGGTGACAGGGTCAAACACCATTTAGAAACTGGTACTAACAAGAGTAACCAAGGAGATATAATAATAGTAATAATCCTTGTACTTGATATCATATCTTATCACATCTTTGAGATGTCTCAAAGCGCTTCACAGAATATACTGTAAAGTTAATTATAGTTATAAAAAAGGGAGATATTTGAGCGCTGTTCTTTAACTATGTGGTTATAGCCATTCATAGATATATATGTGTGTGTTTTGTTTTCAATCACAGAACAACCTGTTCCACCTCCTCCATCCCCACTTCAACCCCCACTTCCACCCCCACCTCCCAAGCCTGAAACCCCACCCCCCAAGCCCGAACCCAAGCCACGTGTATGTAAGAGGAGAGTTCCCCCGGCTCCAAAACCTGAACCAGAACCAGAACCGGAACCGGAACCAGAACCCGAACCCGAACCCATACCAGAACCAGAACCAGAACCAGAACCCGAACCCGTACCGGAACCCGAACCCGAACCCGCACCTATACCTGACCCTCAACAAGAAGCCCGAGCAGCCAAGGCTCGTATATGCAAAAAGCGGGCACCGAGCCAGAAACAACAGTGAACAAACTGCGCCGACCAAAGCAAACACGCACAGTCAACCAGAACAAAGGAAGAGCCTTGGGCTGTAGGAAACCCAAGACGTAACTTTATACCCAGTCTACCCATGTTCAGAAAGAATATTCATTTTAGTAAAGAGAACTAATTATGATTTTTTTTCTGCAGTCTTGTCAAAGCGAAAACCCGCCCCACACCGAGCACACAGTATTGGGAGGTATTGGAGTAGTCAGAGCACTCGCGCAAGCGAGAGGATCCGGGTTCGATTCCCGGCCGGGCAGGGCAAAACGTGAGGCACACATGTTACTCCACACATACACCTCTATTTACCTCGCAGTAAGTAGGAACCTGGTTGGTAGTGGATTTGCGGACCACTTTTCCGGCGGTAATAATAAATATAGTCCATTTATTTTACAGAATATTCTGTGACATCTCAAAGACATGATAAGGCGCTACATCAAATGCAAGGATTACTATTATTATTATTATTATCATTAACAATTATCTATTCAGCTTGACTTAATCATACAACCTTTCGCTGCGAATTGTTGGAGATGTTATTTCACGTGGAAGGTTCAATATGAACGCGAGTTGTTCTTGGTCAAAGCTAAACAAGGTGTGGATGAAAGGCTCGGTGGGTTTGCGTAAGGCGCAAAGTGTGGTTTCAGGGGATGGGGGGAAATGAATAATATGCCACAAGATCTTTGCACAAAGAGTTTTTGGCCGGCAATCAATTCGGGAACCGGAGGAAGTGGGCAGAGTTAGAGAAGAGAGTTTTTCATCCTAAGAGAGTTTTAACAGTGCAGCACTGAAGAAAATGTTCCCATCCCATTCACTGCACCTGCTCTGTGAAAGAGCTGCCATTTAAATTCATCCCACTCTTAATCCTGTGGGAATTTAATGGGATGGGTAATCTGGTATTACAGTACATTTTTGCCAACAACTAGCCTTTGCCAGTGAGTGGGTTGACCTGTTGCACATCAACACGTGTTGAATGGGTCGATGCTCTTATCTTTCCAATGATATGCAAACGGTAAAGGTCTTCATTAATACATGGGGGCAACCCCCCACCCCCCCCCCCACCCCCACCCCAGCAACAAACACCCCCCTTACATATGGTTGAGTGCATTTGTCCAAAGCTTCAGTATTCGAGCTCAAAACTTCAATGCAACAACACTGCAACGTTTCAAGCAAAGCACCTATTCTCCCAGCCTTTCTCTCTCTCTCCCTCTCTCTCTCTCTCTCTCTGTCTCTGTCTGTCTCCCTCTCTCCATCTTTCTGCTCTCCTCTTCTCCCAGTCTTACGAACGGGGAAAGAGTGCAAGTGAGCGGGCACTTGGTAAAGAGGGGTGGGGGTGGAGGGGAGGGAGAGGGGAGGGAGAGGGGGTGAGGGGGTGGGGGGGGGGGGAAGTTTAATGTGTTGGTGTCGGTACCATTATTACATTTTGATGGGCAGCCCCTCGCGTCACAAGGACGAGACAGACAGACAAGGCAGACAGACAGGTCAGTCAGTGAGAGACTTGCTATCAAATCCAATGTAAGCCACTGGCACCACCACCATCAGCCAACTTCAAGCCGAGCAGCACCAGCCAGGATGGGCTGTGGAGCGTCTAACGAAGCTGTAACAGGTACCCAACTAGAGAGAGACAGAGAGAGAGAGAGATGAGAGAGAGAGAGAGAGCAGAGCAATTGGGGTGGGGGTGTGGGGGGTGTGGGGGGGGTCATGCTTTTTTATTTTGCACAAACAGGAGTGCTGTTTGCTGTTTCCTGCAGAATAATAATAATAATAATAATAATAAATGATAATAACCATTAATAATGATAATAATCCTTGCGTTTGACGCAGCGCTTTTCACGTCGGGAGGACGTCCCGAAGCGCTTTCGCGGGACGCGCTGTACAGTGAATTGGCCGCGTAGTCGTGGGCGGACGCGGCAATTGCGCGCAGCGGTGGCCCACAAACAGTCGCGGATTGAAAGATGACCCAATTTACTACTGTTTTGTCTTTTTGGAGGGATTACTATTAGGCTCTGTGTGGAGGAAGGGAACTTGCCCAAGGTTTCGCCCCCTGCCTGGAATTGAACTCGGGTCTCTCGCTTGCAAAGCAGAACGAAGCTTCCTATTTAAATTTAAATTCTTATTTAAATCTACAGTTCAAGCACAGGTGTGTGTGTGTGTGTGTGTGTGTCTTTTTATC